TTTTTATCGAATTATTTCTGGCTTTATTCATGAGTTTATTTGTTCTATTTCTATACCTTTTGTATATTAACTAATTTTTTTTATTTATTACATCTGATAAATGCAATTTTAGAAGTTTACTTTTCATTCTAGTCATATCAATTAACTTATTACAATTAACTTATTAGATATTCAATTACATTTTTTTATCCTATTTAAATATATATTTTTACTTTCTTTACACTTACTGTATATGTTTTCAAACACATTCAATATGTAATTAAGAATTGTATTTGGTTCGGGTATATGCAAAACCGGGCTCCAGTCAACGCAAGCAAGCTCCTGTCTTATTTTTGTGTTATTAAAAATGGTAGCGAATGTATATCGTTGAACTGTATCTGCACTGTTTAGCGCTAAATCGCACCGCATCTTCTACCACAGCTGATCTTATTGTGTGACTACGGTTATTTCGCTCAGCTACGTTGCGCATAAATATATGATCTATACACGTTTTTGAAATGCTTCTTTTAGTCGTTTCAATTCTGGTGTACTGATTAATACAACATTGGAATCCTAATTCTGTTTAATGTCGTATAGTATACGTGTCCTATTTAGTTCAGTTGATGTAAAAAAAAAATCATTGGTATATGTAAAGCACCTATTGAATTCAGCGGTTTCTTGTAAAATTTCGAAGTATGTGTTTTTTTTTCTATCGTGAAAACGTTTAGGAATCGTGTTTTCACACCGTATACTAATGATACTTTCACTGTTATGCGGATTCAACCAAGCCATGTTCGTAAGGCTCCTTTGAGAAGAACGAGCAAGAAACTCTAGGGCTTGCTCTTTCTAAATAAACATTTGTACACATTTATCGTTTACAAGATTTATTTCAAACATCATAGATCGAGACTACCTTCGAGATCTAAATGGGTCACTATAACAGTTTGTCATACAAGTACGCAGAAAATGTATAAATAACCTTTAGCATAATGTTCAATTAAAATACTACAAAATCTTCGCGGCACTACTTGTTGGCTCTGACAAAACGGATTGAAACCACCCAACATTAAATGTACTAAAACCACCCTGTGAAGTTATACCTTGGTAGGTTTCGTTCGAACACACTCCATAAGCAAATAATGTACAATGAAATTTTACACACTTTGCGTAATGTTATTTTATTTTTATTTGAGGTAGATTATTTTTCATTCTTATCTTAACCGTACAATTTGTCTAAATGATGCCAATCGTCAACTTGTTGATTGACCATCAAGCAACCATCCTCCCCACATAATAAATATAGTAGAAGTGCTTAACGTGACACGTGCGCCAACAGTACGTTGAGTTCAACATACTTGTCCTCCATTCCGCCATTTTCGCTTTGTATGTTATGGTCGTGCCAATTATCTCGCGCAAAACCTCGAAAATTGTGGAAAAATGACTTGTTTTGTTACTTTGGAGTGCACAATCCATTGTGGTGTTTCATATTATGTATATATGTATCTAATTTACCTTATTTAATTATAATAAATTTTCAATTTTCTGTTAATCGTAACAGATTTTTTGTTATAAGGAACGAAAACAAACCTTATACCGTTGCAATATGGTGTTTTAACCGACTTCAAAAAGGAGGAGGTTCCCAAGTTATCTGTATTTGTATCTATAAGTTTGTTACGGGTTTACTCCGGCATTCGTGCATCGACTTTGATGGTTTTTTTTGTTGGAAAGAGGGTACCTCAGTATTGATCCCATTTAAATTTGAAGAAAATATTTCACCTTTCACCACTTTCTGGTAACCAATTTCAATAAAACTTGGCAAATAGATCTAATTCCACGAACTTTTGAGATTGTTTTTTTTTTTTTTTATAAAAGCGTTATAATTGGAGAATTAAGCGAACATCTCGAATTTGTCGTCGTTCAGCTATTAACTGTTAGAAGGCAGCATATTGATTGAAATTTCAATAGAACATCAAAGCATCGTAACTTGCAATTATGCGTACTGGTGGTATTGAACTTTCAACGATATGCCAACATGATAAAGTTTAAATTGCATTAACAGTGCAGAATTTGTTATTTCTTTTTAAATTAGAAACAAGGTTTCATAGTGTTTAACATAATAATTGTGTGAGTTTTGGTGGCATCGGTTCCGATAATAATCGAAGCTTAAGGTCCTTCCATTGTTTATTCTTCCGTGATCCTCCTACAAAGTAAATAAATTATGTCTCGTTAACAGGTGGGGCCGACAGCTCTTCAAATTACATCGGTAGAAAAAACAAAAGTGCTCGGCTTACCTGTGTTGTTAAACGACGTCTATTACGCTTCCGAAATCGACGAAGTAAGTCTCTACTTGCTCCAGAGATATTTGTAAACGGAAAACGCTATTAAGTCATGCTCACAATTTGATTTAGTTGTGACTAAGAGTCGTATTCCAGAACTCTACTCAATGCTCAAGTCAGGACTTGACCAAACTTGAGTATGATTTCAAGCACTGGAAATACGACCCTAATGGCAAGGACTTGAGTATGATTTTCAGTGTTCACTGCAATACTCAAGTCCTGACTTGAGTATTGAGTAGAGTTCTAGAATACGACCCTTAGAGTCGTATTCCAGAAGTCTACTCAATGCTCAAGTCAGGATTTGAGCAGACTTGAGTATGATTTCAAGCACTGGAAATACGACCCTAATGGCAAGGGCTTGAGTATGATTTTCAGTGCTCACTGCAATACTCAAGTCCTGACTTGAGTATTGAGTAGAGTTCTGGAATACGACCGTAAGAGCTGTTACACAACGCGACTATTAGCAGCGATGCAAACGTGAGTTTGTGAAACCCACGATTGCATCGATACAAACGCGCGATTGCATCGATACAGTCGCTTATGTTGAATAATTATGTACGAGAAATCTGTATAGGCTTATGCACATTATTATTATTATTATTTTTTGTTAATTTATATAACTGCCTCCGTGGTCAAACTGTTACCATGCCGGACTGCCACGCAGAGGTCCCAGGTTTGATTCCCGGGCCGGGAGAAATATTTGCATGGCCTACATTTATTTCTCTCGTGAGTATGGGTGTAATTTGTTGTGAAATTAATAAATACATTAAATAAATAAATTAGTTAATTATTTTAAAACATGCATCGCTTTTGTATCGCGTTGGCATCTCGTTTGCATCGCTTCTTATTATTATTATTAAAATGATGATAATGACGAAGATGCATTAGCATCAGCATTATTAAATGCTGATGCGGCTTTATAAGTTACTTTAAGAACCATATTTGACTTAAACAACGTCGCCCAACATCGTAGGACAAAACTATCACGTGAGTAGCTTTGTCCTACGATACAGTAAAACCATTTCCGGAGATCCGTGATTCAAGGAAAGTAATGAATTAAAATGTTGTGGTTTAACAACTCGTATGTCACTCCTTGGCGCTATATCTATAAATGTATCTATAGATTTGGAACACCTTTTTCCGGCCTATGTTGATATAATTCTAGTACTGACACCATACTCTCACAGTATGCATAACATTAACAAAAAACTGTATTTTAGTCATAAGTAAGCCTTGTGAGAGTAATAAATTGTCATTCCTTCATTCATTCAACTATTTGTCAAAAATGTCAAAGTTTAAGTCAAGTTATATTTTTTAATCCCAATTATCGTTTTACAGGTGTGTCTTGTGGACGATAACCAGTTCTCACTGTCAATAATCAATGAAGCCACGCCGCTGAGTTTCATACACAACGACTGCGACAATATTGTGCAGTCTATAATACATATTAGGAACAGATGGGAACTAAGCCAACCAGTAAGTTATTTTTTTTATATAAAAAATAAGTGCGCATTTGACCTCCATCTCACCTGATGGAAAGTGATGATGAGGCCGACGATGTAGCATGCACACCTAAATAATGCCTCTTCACTCTCGTCTTGAAAAGGTCTAAGTTGTAGCGTTCGAGGAACAAGTGCTTAGGTAGGGAATTCCACTCTCTAACCGCTCGAAGCGAAACGTTTCGTGCGAATTCTGGGAATATCTACAACATAGGGGTGGAATCCCAGCCCACGTCTAGTACCCCGATGATGGAAAGGGGAAGGCGGAATCAAATTATGCAGTTCCATCGCAAACTCTCCGTGATACATCCTCTATACTACCAATAAGCAGGCAACTTTACGGCGGTGTTCAAGGCTTTGCAGCTTCGCCTCTACCAATTCTGATTCGCCTAACGTGGGCCGATATAGGTTTATCTAAGCATGTTATCCATAACAATGCATGGTCATACCCTTCGATAGATTCGTGCGTAGCGTGTGCGTGTGTGACCGTACTTTTTTTTATGATATCAAGTGACGGGACGAACAAGTCGTGCCCCTGATGGTAAGCTACACGCCTGTCCATAACAGTTGCAGTGCCACTCAGAGCTTTAAGTCGCAGAGATCTGAGGGGCACAGCCACTGCGCCCGTCACCCTGAGACATAAGTTGACAAGTCCCATGTGCCTGTAAATTCACCAGCAGCCTTACCTTTCAAAACCGGAACGCAATAATGCTAATATTACTGCTTGGCGGCAGAAATGGGTAAAGTGGCAGTACTTCCCTGGACGAACTCTTTCACAAGGAGCTCTACTGCTTCTAAACGGACACGACGTACATGCCTTAATATTCCATACCTGAGAAGCATTACACTGTAAGTGCTGTTTTTGTAATTTTACAGGGGACGCGATTTTATGTCGAAATGCAGCATGTACAACATTTAGAATGGCTTGAAATAAAACCAATTGAGTTTTAATAACATTTCGAGCTATCCTAATTGGCATACAAATTGCTTTTCGACACAAATTGCTTCCTCGTAAAATTACAAAAATGGCGCTTACATTGCATGTACATGTTGTTGTTTGTGTCAGGTACATGTTGTTGTTTGTTCCAGGATACAGTTTCAGTTCATCAAAAAATCCGTCCAAAAGACGTCCCCGGTACACTGTTGAACATGGCGCTATTAAATCTCGGTTCCTGTGACCCCAATTTAAGGACTGCTGCTTACAACCAGCTTTGTGCTCTGACTGCAACTTTTCATTTGAAAATTGAAGGGCAGTTGCTTGAAACTTCAGGTGCGTCATTATAAGATTCTGGTTACCGGTGAATTAGTGCAGTAAAAAGCGTAGATTGGAATATAATAATAATAATAACGCACACACTCAACGTAGCCCCGCACTAGGTAAACCACGTGTCACGGGTGCCATGGACACATATATAGACCACCACAAATTACACCCAAACTCACGAGAGAAATAAATGTAAGCCATGCAAATATTTCTCCCGGCACGGGAATCGAACCCGGGTCCTCTGCGTGGCAGACGAGTATGGTAATCGTTCGGCCATGTAGACAATTTGTCTATAATTTCTTTTAAATCGATACCACCTTAGTCTTATATTTAAAAAAAAAATGGTTTTGTCTTTTGCTTCTTGTTGTCTTTAAAACATAAAGTTAAGTGCGTTTTCCCAACCATTTTACATCCATTTTTACACCACGAAGGATGTCGGGTACATAACGTTTTCAAAGCCGGTTACCGGACACCGGCGTTGCATCACACGTCGCGTGTGACCATACGTGTAAATAATTATGTTTACTTATGCTTTTTTATTTTTATATTATGTATGTTAGCCTATAAGGCAAGTATTTATGGACCTCCGCAACCTGATTACAAATAAATAATTTTTTATGTGAATTTGTTTCTAGGACAAGTTTTTTAATAATTTTGTAACATTGTAGGTTTATGTATACCATCAAACAATACCATCTTTATCAAGTCAATAAGTGAGAAACTGGCTGCCAACGAACCACATCTTACGCTAGAGTTTTTGGAGGAGTGCATTCAGGTACGTTGGAATGTAGCGTTTTAGCGACCCTAGAAATAAAGTTTCTTAAGTTACGTCGACAGCATTGAAAACGCAAAATATGAGCACTGTTTAAAATTCGTCAATCACAAGTGCCACATATTTTGGTATAAAACAGATTTAGTAGCTCCATGTGAAAGAGATCGTCCAGGGAAGTGCTGCCATCTTGCCTATTTTAGTCGCCAAGCGGTAATGTGAGAATTATTGCATTCCGGTTTTAATGGGTAAGGGTTCTGGTGAAATTACAGGCACGTGGGACTTGTCAACTTATGTCTCAGGATAACGGGCGCAGTGCCCCTCAGATCTTTGCATTTAAAGCTCTGAGTGGCAATGCAATTGCTAAGGACAGGCGTGTCGCTTACCACCAGGTGCACAACTAGTTCGTTTCGTCACTTAGAATCATAAAAATAATATTGTATTTCTAGGATAGTGAGAGGAATGAATAGTTCCGATCAAAATGTCTAAACGCCCAGGTGGTTCTTTAGAAGTACTACCCATGGTGGGTACTAACTACATTTTAGAATAGATTGAAAACAAAACGCAACACGGAAAGTATGTACTTCGTTTATTGTAGAGAGGTACAATAATCACAGAACCAGGTAGTATAGCATAGAGTAAACGGCAGTATTGTGGAGCTGTCTTGTGTCCAGTGACTCGTTCTCTAATGTGTGCAATCAAAAAAAGCAATCAGCAGCCCTATTTATAAGGCGACATCCCCACAAGTCTGCTCACGTGCCGTCAGCCGACTATCTTGTAAACAACGTTGTAAAAGAACATCTGCGTCGTTAGGCTCAACTCACACTCGCGCAGAGTCGAAGCGTCGCGACGCGTCATGACTTCGCAAACAATTTTTTTTTATCCGTGCGGAGACGGAGAAAGAATACTATTCTCCGCCCCTTTTCCTCCGATGGGTGTCGTAAGAGGCGACTAACGGATTTTAGAGCTTCCATCTGCTCTACTGCGTGGTAGGGCATGGCCCGTCTGGTTAGTGACCACCGTACGCATGGTGTAAAACCCGTCAAGTGACCGCTTGTCGGTCGCGTTTCGGGATCAGCCAGCGTATAACCAGAGCTCGAGTGAATGCTGCCGCGATGCAGTTGGTCTGTGGAGGCTTCCGTCGAACCAGTGCCAGGAAGACTTTGATAACCCGCCGGCCAGGGAGACCCGTAGAAACGGTTGTTCCGCTGGCCGCCCGTGGCACAGTACAGGGGCCCAAGCGAGTCTAACCAGCTCGTGAGGCTGCCTCACCATGCCACGCATAATCTCGGGGTGGTCCGTCGTGCCGGTTGGTGACCGGAAGGTGGGGTCCCGGTGGCCATTCCCGGGGGGGTTCGGGGGCCCTTCCGTCCGGCGGGTTAATGATACTCATCTGTAGGCAGATCTCTGGCGAAACAGGCCGCCACACTTTGACCATCTGCATCGCGGTAGCTTTTCCTCGATTCACACCTCCCTCCTTTTATCCACCATGACAGCGCTTAAAATAAAAACTGGTCGAACAGCGGTGCACACCCCCACCACAACCAAACCGTTTGAGGTCGAGTTCGCTAACATCCGCGGACTCCATGCAAACCTCAATGCCGTCCACCACCATCTTGAGACGGCACGGCCAGCAATGATGTTTTTGACGGAGACGCAAATAATCTGCCCGGCCGACACAGGCTACTTGCACTATCCGGGCTTTGTGCTTGAAGAATCCTTCAAAGCCAAAGCCGGAGTTTGCTTGTTCGTTCGGGCGGATGTTTGTTGTCGGCGTCTGCGCTGTCTGGAGGACCCTTCCTTTTCCCTCCTTGTGGTACACGTCGACTTGGGCTCTCATAGCCGTGTCTATGTTTGCGTCTACCGATCCCATAATGGCGACATGGAGACAACTCGACTTATGGACCATCTTAGTCGGGTAGCAGATGATGCGCAGGAGCGGTTTCCATTGGCGGAATTGGTGTTTTTGGGGGACTTCAATGCTCACCACGAGTTATGGTTAAGTTCCTCCAAAACTGACCATGCTGGTAGAATTGCCCATGCATTCGCCCTCACGCACGACCTGACTCAACTGGTGAACCAGCCCACCAGGATCCCAGATATAGTCGGTCACGCGCCCTCTTTGTTGGACCTTCTGCTGACGAATCGTCCAGCTGGTTACCGAGTGGAGGTTCGAGCTCCTTTAGGATCTTCTGATCACTGCTTGGTATCCAGTAAAGTGCCTCTGGACCCGCTACCGCCTTCCGCGGTATCGAAACGCCAGATTTGGCACCACTCGTCGGCAGATTGGGATGGTATGCGGGATTATTTCGCATCCGTTCCTTGGGGGCAGCGCTGCTTCAGTGGGAAGGACCCAACAGCTAGTGCGGCTGCAGTTGCTGATGAGATAGTTTTAGGGATGGAATACTACATTCCAAATTCCTATCTCATCGGCAAAGGCAGACGCAACCGATGGTTCAACCGCGAGTGTGCCAGTGCTGCTGATAAAAGGCAAGAGGCATATCGCGCTTGGATCAAAGGTATAGCACATGGAGATCCCGAAACCCACTCGCTGAAAGCAGCCTACAATAATGCCACCAAGTCCTGCAAAAGGGCTTACATTAGAGCGGATGCCCAGCGCGTTGCTCGGGTCGGCCAAGAACTACTGACGCATCCTACGGGCAGCCGTAGCTACTGGCGTCTGGCCAAAGCCGTGCAATCCAACTTCTGCCAACCCTCGCTGCCACCATTACGATGTCCTGACGGAACTTTAGCCCACAAGCCGCAGGAGAAGGTCGATCTCCTGGCTAAACTCTTTGCGGCTAACTCCCGAATCGACGACTGCAATGCACAGCCACCTATAATTCCTCACTGTGGCCACACAATGCCCGATCTTAAAATCAGGCAGTGTGATGTCCGTGCAGAGTTGCAGTCAATCGATGTCCGGAAAGCTAATGGTCCTGATGGCATTCCTCCAATCGTTCTGAAAATGTGTGCAGCGGAGTTGTCCCCCGTGTTAACGCGCCTTTACCGCCTCTCGCTCTCTTCAGGTTGTGTGCCGGAATCTTGGAGAAAGGCTAATGTGCAACCGGTCCCCAAAAAAGGAGATCGATCAGATCCGAATAATTACCGCCCAATAGCCGTAACTTCAGTTTTGTGTAAAGTGATGGAACGGATTTTAAATAAACAGCTAATCCACTACCTAGAAGAACACTCCTTAATTCACGATCGTCAATACGGGTTTCGGCCGAAACGGTCAACGGGTGATCTTTTAGCGTTTATTACACATCTCTGGGGTGTGGCTATTGATAAGCGTGGCGAGTCGATGGCTGTTAGCCTTGACATAGCCAAGGCTTTTGATCGGGTCTGGCACAAAGCTCTTCTCTCCAAACTCCCGTCATACGGCCTGCCTGCCCAGTTCTGCAACTGGGTCGCTGGCTTCCTGCATGAGCGCAGAATCCGAGTGCTGTCAGACGGATGCGCTTCGGAATTCATGTCAGTGAACGCTGGTGTCCCTCAGGGGTCCGTTCTATCCCCCACGCTGTTCCTTCTGCATATCAATGATATGCTTCCACTTGGAAATATTCATTGCTATGCAGATGATAGTACAGTGCACGGAGGGTATAATGGTCACCCTGCGGCTGGGCGGGTCGAGACTGAAGAGAAGCGAGTGAATCTTGTCATTGAGCTCAATCGGGTGTTGGACCTCATATCTCAATGGGGCTCCAATAATCTTGTTGAGTTCAATGCCAAGAAAACACAGGTGTGCGCGTTCACGGCAAAAAAGACACCATTCCTTCCCCTTCCTTCTCTTCAGGGCACACCACTTAGCCTACAGAGCAGCATTAGCATGCTCGGTACGGAGATTCGCTGCGATCTGAACCAGAGGGACTATATTGAAGCCGTGATAAAAACAGCTTCACGTAAACTCGGTGTCCTGAACAGAGTGCGACGCTTCTTCGCGCCGGATCAGTTGTGTCTCTTGTATAAGACACAAGTGCGATCGTGCGTGGAGTATTGTTCGCACCTCTGGGACGGTTCCGCTAAGTACCTTCTCGATGCCTTGGACAGATTGCAGCGGCGCGCTATACGCATTATCGGCAATGCAGAGGTCACTAATACTCTCGAACCTCTGCAATTGCGTAGAGATATTGCGTCACTCAGCGCTTTCTACCGTTTATACCACGGCGAGTGCTCTGAAGAACTCTTTGACCTTATCCCACCTTCTCCCTTCCTCCATAGGAGCACGCGTGCTGCTCTCCGGAGTCACCGCTATACTGTCTCTAGCATTCCATCGCGCACAAAGAAATTTGGTGACTCGTTTCTTTGTCGCACTTCCAAAAGATGGAACAATCTACCAGCACACGTATTTCCTCCTTCCTATGACATGGGGTCCTTCAAGCGAGGCGTGAAGAAGCACCTTGTAGGCCGGCAGGGTGAGGGCGACTGATGATGCGTTGTTTTCACGCTGCACCAGTTGTCCTTGCGTCTGGACTCCGTTTCATTTAACATCAGGTGGGACGGAGTCATCTGTCGAGCTTAGTATATATAAAAAAAAAAAAAAAAAAAAAAAAAAAAATTTATACAGCCAATTATATCACTTTCACTAATAACCGCACTGGTGCATAATCGCGCCACGCCAGAGGAAAGAGTGCCCCGCTGTTCTGCCGCGCGCCGCCCCCATCCCGTTTGCATAACAAGCCGCTCACTCCTGCACGCGTTGCCCAGTTCCATGCAGCACAAGAGGACGAGCACGACGGCGCCGCCGTCATATGTATGGTGTCGTGGTGTTTGCATTAAAGTGTTGACTGTTGCCCGTAGTTTGGCCATGAATTCAAGAGTGTTCTAGTAATGTCCCAGAAGTTTCGTTAGTTTGGTACTTAAAATTCAGGGAAATCCCCAATTTGAGACGAACCGTTCAGGAAAGTCCCTAGTTTAAGACAAATGTTTCAGAAAACTCCCTAGTTTGTTAACAATTATTTGCTGTGACGAAAAAATCCTTGTGTTTTATACAGTATTTTTTTTCTACAGGGTTTCAGAGGTTCCACAATAGAACTTAAACATTTGTGCTTGGAATACATGACACCTTGGTTGGCCAATTTAGTGAGGTACGTTATTCTATTTTAAACCTACATAAATAGGGTCCCCAAATAGTATTATTAATTTATTTTTACCTCGTCTGCCTCAGATGGAGGGCAATTTTTTCGGGTGGATATATATAGTGTGATTTTTAACTGATACAGGTATGGGGAAACCTGAAACCATAGGAGATACGAGGAGATTGTACATTAAGTAGTTCTATCAAGGTAACAAATTGTATGAAAAAACATTTGTCTCGATTTTTTCTTCCGGTATAATTAAATTACCCTTATAAAAAAATGAGTCGATCAGCATTAGAAAAAAAATGTGAATATTATTCAATTTTATAGACAAATCACGCATGTCCAAAAATTTACTATGTCAATTTGTTTTCACAAAATAAGACCTAATGATTTTTCAGACAGTTTGCTTGTAATCTCCAATGGTTTCGGATTTCTTCGTACTGTCCCAATTAAAAATATCATACTGTATATGTATGTAAATAGGTTGGTGTAGGTGTTTGTTTCTTTTAATGATGTTACCAAAATCGTATCATTCTTACTATCCAACTGTTCCAGAGCGCTAGGTTGCTCTGTTTGAATAAGCCTTTCATCCAATTCACTTTTGTTCTGGCCATGTGCTTGGACTATACATTGAAATGCTAATGGTTACACACAATAAGCACAAGGCTTGGCTATAAATTTTGATTTTAAATTGTTTTTCACCTTTTTATAACCAGGTTTTGCAAACCATCTGACGAGTCCCGTCGCCAGAAACAAGTTTTAGGCATATTAGAAAAGCTGATAACACTGACGATAGAAGAAACTGAGATGTACCCCTCGGTGCAGGCTAAGATTTGGGGGTCTATAGGGAATGTACCTGAGTTGATTGATATGGTGCTTGATAGCTTTATACAGAGGAGTGTCAAGTCTGGTAAGTATTCGATTTATGAAAAATCCAACTATTTTAAATTGCTTCAGGTTATAAGGTTCTATTTGGCGGCCTCAGATTTTTTATACATTTGGTACTATTACTTCGCCTACGTATTCCCTAGTTTATCAACTTTCATATTTGACCACCTTCGTGGTGGAGTGGCTTGCACACCGGTTTTCATGGTGTCGCCATCTCTGAGGTCCCGGGTTCGATCCCCGATCGGGTCAGTGTAGAAAACTAACTTTTCTATATTGTGTCGGGTTTGGGTGTTTGTGGTACCGTCGTTGTTTCCGATTTCCATAACATAAGTGCTTTAGCTACTTACTTTGGGATCAGAGCAACGTATGTGATGTTGGCTAGTATTTATTTATTTATTATATTTATTTATTGAGATTTTTTGGGAAAAACTCAAGTTCAGTTCTTCAGTTTTTAAATTTTTATTCAATTGATATTCAATTATTTTTATGTGAAATTACTCCATTAGTTTGTTACAATTGTTAATACAAAGATAAAAATAATTGAATATAAATTTAATAAAAAATTAAATACAATGAATAGCGACATCTCATGAGATGTAGTGAGAGATTTTTGAATATAATAATAATAATAATAACGCACACACTCAACATAGCCCCGCACTGGGGTAACCCTGTGTCGCGGGTGCCATGGACACACACATTGACAACCACAAATTACACCCAAACTCACGAGATAAATAAATGTAGACCATACAAATATTTCTCCCGACCCGGGAATCGAACCTGGGACCTCTGCGTGGCAATCCGGCATGGTAACCGTTTGGCCACAGAGGCAGTTTATGTAGGTTATATAAACTGCGTCGGTGGCCAAACAGAATAATCTTTGCACCGCAGCCGACTCCTTTACAGATATCACAACTGACGCAGATGCCGCTTTGCGATCAAATGTTAGAGCAATGCGACGGTGCAGCATGGACGTGAGTTCAAGTCCCACCGAATCGACGAAAATTTTTCTGTGTTCTATCTTTATATGCATAATCATAACTTTCACATTGTTAGTTTTTTCTTGTTGCTTTACTGGTCTTTATTGTATCAGGTCTTGGTTCGCCGATGGTGGAAATAATGGCGGACACAGCAGTCGCACTTGCATCCGCTAACGTACAACTGGTCTCTAAAAAGATTATAGGACGAATGTGCAGGGTAAGATTTAAACATTTTAACCGACTTCAAAAAAAGGAAGAGATGTTTTCAATTGTCTGTATGTAGTTTTTTAGTGTGCATAACTTCGGCAAATATGTGTTTGTGTCAATGCACAGATACAATCACCAGCACCTTGGTGTTTACGCTTTGGACTTAGAAGCATTCTTATCATAAGTGACATAGAGTTCAATTTAAATCTCAAGTGTAGTTAAATCCCAGCGTGCACTTGACTTTACCTTATTAAGAGTTTTAAGTTATATTCATGACACACAATTATTATATCCCGCTATTATGTATTGAGTAACGATTTTTTTTTTGCTTACGAAAATATATTTCTATAAAGGTGTGTACAGATTTAGCGAATGCACTGCAAATGTTTTCGAAAGACTCGTAAGCTGCACACGTGGATTGCGTTGTGCGATCAGATTTGTACGCCCCCTTATATTCCTACATTCGCGCTGTTAAAACAATAGTGTATTAACTCAAAAAGTGTATTTTTTCAAAATCGATGAAAAAAGAATTACTCGCTTCCAGCGTAATATTATTAAAATCTATGTATAGGTTAAAGTTTATTTATTACAGACATCTAAACAATTCCCTACTTGAGTTACGGAGATTTATTTTAATTGTTTTTTACAATTGACTTGTAGAGAATCAAATTTTACGTTCAGCAATAAATCTTGGATTTCACATATTTTGAGTTACGATACTATTGTAATAGCAGTGCGATTATCTTGTTATATCTGAATTTTAATTATGTATGTAGCGGTCTGGGATTTAAAGATATATATTATGGTCTGGGTTTCAAAGATATTAGAATAAAACTCGCACTGTTTATCTGAAGTCATTAACTGATTAAAAATTAAAAATACAATCACAAAAACAAAATACACTTCCGGATAAATAATTGGAGCCACCACGCATTTTCAGTATTAAGTGCCATAAGCTTAAACAATGTTGGATTGATCAAAAACTATTACGCAAATTTGAAACTAGTATACTAAATGTCTTTTCCGTAAGTCCTTATTTTTTTTTGAATTTGGATTTGCAAAACCGGGGGAAAACTTTTCTTCGATCGTAACATTATTTTTGTATTGTTGCCCTTTACGACAAAAATGCGAGGTGGCTCGGATTATATGACCGGGAATACATTATTAAAAAAATAATAATGTACTCCCGAATACGAATACTAAATTGAAGTTGGGTTTTTCCGGCTCTCTTAATTTGCGGCAGTCGCGGATCCGAGACGGACCTATTTCCGGTTCTAATGTACGGCCAATTAACTCCCGCAAGTTAAGACTTGAAGGCATAATACGAAAGAGATGACCGCTATTACTCGTTACAGGGTATTGCACTATTGAACACAAAAAGCAGGCAGACACAGTAGTATTTTCAACACGTTCTTTTTCGGTTACCAGTGACATTGCAAATTCTCCTTTATGTGCATGCCTTTTGTATTCAATTTAGTATTACGCTGAAACTAATTTGAGACCTTACTTAATAAGTTGAGTAAAAAACAATGTAGCACCAGTACACAACGTCCAAATAAACCCTGCGCATTTCATGTACACGTAACAGGCATGCAAAATTCATCTAAAAGCTGAACATGCATTACCTTGACTAGAAATGAAAAATAAAAAAACAAATTACATACTTTGTGAATTTAATTGACTTGCATTACAATAAAAAAACGAAAATACTAATTAACAAATAAATATGATTGAGCTATGGCCATAACCCAAAATATTAAAAAAATATATGTAAAATTATTAAGTACAGTCGACGCCCTGATATCCAAACCATTAGCAGACCTTTTGGTTCTGAGAGCCTTCTTACACTTTCAACAGAAAAGCGTAAAGGAATACCAGCTTGTTAGTGGAAATTTTAATTTATGTAATGCAATTAAAGATCAAATTGATTTAAAAAGTTTTTTAAAACGTCATTCACTAATGATATAAAAACGAAGACATATCAAAATGAAAGTATAGAGCTCACAGGTTAAAGGTTAAGTTTCTTTAACAGCTTACTTCACATCGATCTATTCAGGACCAAATGATAATAATAATAAAGAGCTTTTGAAATAACAACAATTTGGCTCTAAATAAAGTTACACATGTAGATAAAAAGGTAAGAGTCTCAGCTGAAGCGTTTTTTCAGAATTTATTTCTTTTACTCTTTATTAGTTAATTATATACTCATAATTTGTAGTTTAGATCGGGATGAACAGCACACATAAATATGAATAGTAAAATATTATTTAAAAAATGTTAAATAAAAACTATGATTAATATAATAATTATTAATAAAAACTGTATAAAATTGCTGGTCGATGAAGCTACATCCAATTACATAAATAGTCGGTTAGAGTCAGGTATAATTCATAATTCATTTATTAGGGCGTCGACTGTACATACTTACACGAATAATTGAGTAGAAAAGGATGATAACTGTCTGGTACGTTTATATTCACCAATGCACATTCAACTTTATATTGCTTTTTTTCTACCATTTTTTAAAACTAAATCAATATCTGTCTTCCCCTACAGGCCCTATCCAAACTGCCTAATAATATCCTGGGCCCCGTTACCCCGGCCACAGTGAGTTCACTTTTGTTTTATAGTTTTTTTATTGGATTATATTTTTTATTCTTTTTTAATGCATTACTTTTTTATTAAGTTTCTTTAAGGATAAATAGTGAATAGATTTATTTTGGTTTGATTTATGTTTTTAACAAGTTTTTTTATTTAATTGGTACGAACAATTGGCCTACATCTCCTCAAAATTCCAAATTCCTACTTTGTTACGTTTTCGCATTATTATGAGATATTTCGAGAGGATAAATTATACATTATTAGCTTACTCCACTTCGGAATAAAACTATCATTTTTAATTTGTCTATTTCACCAGCTCAGTGCCCTTGATAATCATCATAAATAATACATGACAAGAATTTTATGCTAAAGGATTATATGTATATTATTAGCCGGATATCTAGTGCGTGGAATCGGGTCCTTATGCTTGCAATATTAAAAACAAAAATAGTTTGACTTCAGTTTCGCGTGTGGATACAGTGAGTGTGGTTTGTCTGAAAAAGTGAGTGACAATGGTAATGCCACAAGTAATCGAAATAAAGAGTGTTCTTAAAACTGTCATTTGTCGCTGGCCAGTCAACCCGTGACCATAGAGCGTGTCACCGTTCCGAAATATCGGGAAATTAAAAAGAAATTAAAGAAGTGTTAAGAAACTTGTAATTAATGATAACCATGTATTCAGACAAGTGTGTTGTAAGCTTTTAAAGTTTAATGACACTTGAAAATCTCCATATACAAAAACACGTTATGTTCATTATCTTTTCATACAGGACTGTAATGGTATAATAGTACTTATAAATGTAGACAAGTTCCAATATTGATTGCAATGAATAATATGATGTTTTACTACCATGACATTAATTTATTTGTTGCGAAATTCCCCATTATAGTCTGTCCTTTTTGAAGACGGCGTAACATGACAGTTAGCTGCGCAAATGTGTTGCGAGCAGCTAGTGATTGCAGTCGATAAATATTCTATCGATTATCAACTGAATATTTATTGGTCACGCTTATGTAATGAATAGCGGAACTTGTTTCATTTGAATCATTCTTGACCCATTATTCATCCAATTACTGAGCACAAGTTCATTTGAATGGTCAATTTTTGTAAGTTCATACATACACAGTGTATTTAGAACTATGTTTCTGAAAAGGAAAGAGGAGACAAGTTTTAAACTTTTTCATTTTAATTCAATATAGATAATCTATATGTATACATGAATAAAAATTGATCTTGATGCTTGAAGGCCAACTGTCAAAATAAGAAGATAGATGACAATAACGCAATTAGTAATCATTAGAACGTCGTAACATTTACAATTCTGTCATTTTTGGCGAAATTTTATCATTTACAATCTATCGATAAAACTATCGACAACAACTACATAACTATTTAAAATTTTATGAAAACTGGCAACCCTATAAATGTCATTTTACACCGTCTTCAAAAAAAGCAGGCTATAGTTTGTCATGAAGTGCCACCGTTACGAACAGAGCGGTTTCGTATTTGTTCATGCAGTGTTTTCACCATAGTAACTAATGGTTAATTTGACGATTGTCAACAAGGCTAAGGCTGCTAATTGATTGACTGCATGTTTGCAGTTAATGCGTGAAGTCATAATCAACTTCACGCATTAACTGCATGAAGTTGGTCTCGACTGCATGAAGTCGGTTTTGACTTCATGACAGTTAATGCGTGAAAAGTTGATTACGGCTTTGCGCATTAACTGCAAACATCTAGTCAATCTGTTAGCAGCCTAACGATTAGCTCATCATGTGCTATATTACAGCTGAGTTGTGGCACTTTATTATAGTATGATGTTTCCTCAAACATTGGCAGGTAGTAGACAAAACGTGCCACTCACCGACGGCCATGTTGGAGCAGCATATGATGTGGGATGACATTGCGATACTTGCTAGATACTTGGTAAGTATTGTCCGGCTTCAAAGTGGTTGTCATATTTTTTGGAAGTTTGAAATGTCGTAAGGAATATTTTGTCGTAATTGTAAATGTCCCTTACTACAAAATGTCGCTTACGACATTTCAAAATTCGATACATCGACGGAATTATTATCCTTATATCGACTGTGGAAATTTTAAATGTCCTAAGAGACATTTTGTCTTAATTAAAGTCATTTTCCCGGTCATGGTGGAAATTTTAATTGTCCTAAGCATTGACTTACAAATAAATGGACGGGTCTAATACAAAAACCACGAAAAAAATGTCCCAAGTCAACCTATTTAAACGTAGTGACATGTCAAGGAATATGAAAAAGCTAAAACGTTGAATTTAAATTGTAATGTCATCGCAGTACTGTCTAATTTTGCTTGCTTCGCTGTCAGTCGAACAAACGAAGACTAGAGCGTGAATGACGCTCTGTATACGATTTTAACGCCCTATAATTCGGATACTTTTTAGCGCGGACCCGACGTCCATATAATTGTAAGAGACATTTTGTCGTAAGGTAATTTTTTTTTAACATCAAGTGACGGGACGAACAAGTCGTGCACCTGATGGTAAATTACATGTCTGTCCATAACAGTTATAGTGCCACTCATAGCTTTAAATTGCAAATATCTAAGGGGCACTACCACTGCGCAACCACCAACGCATAGGAGAATTTCGTCAACTCGATAACTTGACCTGCAGCACAGTTGGTTAGAGCAGTGCTACGGTACAGCGTGGTCAAGGGTTCAAGTCCCATCGAAGAAACTTTCTTTTGTGTTCAGTTTTTGTATTAATAATCATAATAAATTATAATTTCAGTTGATGTTGTCGTTCAACAACTGTTTGGACGTGGCGCGCCATCTTCCATACCTGTTCCACGTTGTAACGTTTCTTGTCTGCTCTGGTACGGTTTCAATGAGAGCCTCGACGCACGGCCTTGTTATTAATATCATACACTCTCTTTGTACATGTAACACACCCAATTTCAGCGGTAAGTAACATTTTTTTATGTATGCCAGAAATAAAATCAAGAGAGTATTATATTTAAAATCGAATTCTTAGGCTGAATTTACATTCCAGCGGAAAGGAAGGAAAGCGAGTTTTTGTAACCACAGCATAATTAATTTTCGTATCTAGTTTGTATAAAGGTATTATGGTTTATTATGGTATGCACAATTCACCAATTTCGTTCCACAAGTTAGCTTCCATCAAATTCCGCAGCGTTGTAAGTTGAGCCTTATGCAATTACTGCTCATTGGATATTAAACTACTTTATCCAAAAATTATACTACTTTGCAAATAAATTTGTAATTGAAAAGTCACAACTCACGGAAAACTCACGTCGTCAATCTTATTTATTAACTAAATACAAAGTATAATAATTTAATAATTAGTTTTTTAAGTCTCTTTGCTACACCTGCCAGGGCCATGTAAGAACCATACTAAATTTTATTATAAGATCTTGTTAATGTACATACATCGTCGCTTAAATGCTAAACCGCCGCATCACAAAAAATTTCAAAAATGTTTTTATTGCAAAAATGTGTTTAAAAACGGTCAAACTTTAATAATTACGCAAATGCCTGTTTGGCATTCTGCACTTTGTGCTAACTTTTGAGCTAAACAGTTGTCTCTGTGTTCACAAATTTATAGAGCCTTAAAATACACATCTTTTGAGTATAAATACATAGGTATTTCAAAATAAAACAATATTGAATTGCTAAAAACTGAGGTCGAAAGCTTTGATCGCCTATCCTGTAAAAAGGTGAACTTTTGACATGCGGCGGTTTAGCACTTAAGCGACGACATGTGCAATATGGAAATAAATAAATTTTTTTTTGGTCGACAGAGGAAACTCAACGCGTTTTAATGTTGTCATTGGATGAATTCGCTTTGCCGAAGTTCTATCAGATGTTCGGCATATCGAAAGTGAAATCGGCCGCAGTCACCGCATTCAGGAGCGGGTTCCACAGGCATAACAACGATTGGTAAGTTGTTTTCATGACGCAATATTTCTGTGAGGAAATATCAGAATAAATATTTGAAAAAATGCATTGTAATTTTTAAGTTTTTTTATCATTGAATGTTTCACGACAAAAAAGTCGTTAAAAATAAAAACAAAGATCTGCAAACAAGCACATAAAAAATTCGTAAGGTCACTTGGTTCGTTCTGCAGTTTAGGGTGCGTTCCCATTATGTCGTAGTACCCATTATGAGAGATAGTCGTGCAGTTCAAAGTGTCGTGGCTTGTATATTTAAATGAAAATTTTGATATTAAATAGATATTAAAATGCATCACTTGCTAACCTTCACTCTAAATGTCCGTATGCAAGAAGACGTCGGTTCGAATCCGACCGGATCGAAGGCTTTTTTTCTGAGTGTTCGATCTTTGTATTAATAATTATAACAAACTAGTGGAGTAATTTCACACGCAAAATAGGCGCCTTGTCGTCGAGTTGCGGACACCAGCCCGTTACACCAAGTACCAAGTACCAAGTAATTTCACAAAAAATAATTGAATTGAATTCAATAAAAATTTAATTTATAAAATATAAACTATAATAATAATAATAAAATATAAGACCAATATATTTTTATTTTAATATCCGTAAAAAATCTTTACAAAAGTGTTCAAAGTCACCCAACATAACTGTACTGTATATTTATACGCTCAACAGCAGGTATTCCCACGCGGAACACGCGTACGGCGCTTGCGCAGAGTCCTCGGCGATGCTAGCACCGCCTGCGCCTACCACGCACACGGACAGGGAAAGACTGCCACTGCAGTCCTTGGAAACCATCACTGACGCGTTACTCGAGATCATGGAGGCTTGTATGAGAGATATTCCTGATTGCGACTGGTTGGACACTTGGTAAGATTCCGCAATCAACCTTCTGAACGCGTGAATGCCTAGCAGAAGGCGTGTTACGCATTCACGCGTTGGCGTTATGTCTTCTTAACCCATCACAAGTCTTAGAGACACCATGTGTCCGTAAAGATTTTGGCACTGTAGCGTCCTAGAGCCACACGGTTACTCTAACTCACAGGTTTTCATCAATAATTAAAAAAAATGTTTATAATAAGAGTACTAAAAAACCGACCTCAAAAGTTCGTAGTATTCTACGAACTCACTTCAATTTCACATCTATTTACCAAGTTTTATTGAAATCGGTTACCGAAAAGTGCGCGAAACCGGATTCATCTCCCTAGTTTACCACCCTTAGAGGTGGAATATTTTCTTCAAATTTAAATGGGACCATTACTGGGGTACCATTTTTCCAACAAAAAATTCCATCAAAATCGATTTACAAATTTATCAATATAAAAAAGTCGAATTGAGAACCTCCTCCTTTTTTTGAAGTCGGTTAAAAATATTATAAAAAGTTACTAAAATTTATAAGAATTTCAAAAATTAATTAAAAGGTATGAATATTTGGAAAAGAAAATTAAAAAATGATTACCAAAATCATTAGAGATGCTGCCTGACTCTAGAATGCGTGACGTGTTCCATACGCGTCGATCAAAGCTCATACAAGTAGAAGTGAATGTAAAACTTATGAATGCGTGGCCGCCTTCTGTTTGCGTAATCCTTAAGTATTTTAAACACAATGGTTGAGATAATGAGCGATTAATAAAGAATGAATGATATTTTCATAACTTCATTAATATCGCTTTTTGTTTTTTTTTCCAGGACATCGCTGGCGAAGAGTTTTGCGTTTTGTTTCAACCCAGCTTTACAGCCACGAGCTTTGATTGTCTATGGATGTATTAGTAAGCACTATTTTGTAGAAAGTTTTCTAACTCGTTTTTTAAGCACAAAGATTAGAGTTCTTGTCGCCATGTTATTTGGAATTCCGATTTATGTGCTATCTTATAATAATATACACATCTATAGCCCCGCTCTAGGGAAAACACTGTGTCGCGGGTGCCATGGACACACACATAAGACAACCACAAATTACACCGAAACTCACGAGAGGAATAAATGTAGGCCCTAGTATTCATAGTACAGGGAATTTACGTACCTTGGGACCAGGTGAGGTGAACCCGTGGTAGTCTAATGGCATCGAGTATATAACCAGAAATAGAGACGAAATAAGAACCGTATATTCCTGGTAACCCATCAGTGATACATCATTTATAAATATCAACTCTCGTTTGCACTGTGTGCATACTGTGTGTATATTCCAAAAATATTTTGTATTTATTGTAATAAAGATAATATTTCTAACAATGGCGTGCTGTTCCATTCGGTGGTGTGGGGAAAACAGCAAAACATCTAATTACAAAAGAAACGGAATCAAATTTCATCGGTAATTAAATATTAAATATGTAATTTTGCAATTTTCGTCTATTATAGCAAAGCTCAAGTTAACTGGTCGATTGAAGTGAAACAATTGACGAGACCCATTGACGACACCCGTCAGTTGTTTCGAATTTGGGTTGGCCAATCGGAGCACAGTTGTCGCAGCAATGATATGGCAGAATAGTTTTCAAACAAATTAAATGACATTTCGTCTCTATTTCTGGTTATATACTCGATGCCTAATGGTTTAACCTATCGCTTCTCAAGTAGAGGCCGTGGGCTCGAATTCAAAACTCGCACCTCTGAGTTTCTCGGAATTTATGTGCGAAATTATATTTGAATTTTGTAATAATGCTATCGGCGAAGGAAAAAAATTGTGAACAAACTTGCACGTCATACAAGGTCCACTACCCTTAAAACGTCCCCAACCCGTATTGGGCCAGCGTGGCGAACTTTGGCCTAAACTTGAGAGTTTAGGCCAAAAGTGAGCCTGAGAGGAGTCCTGTGCCCAGTAATGGGACGTAGAAATGGGTTGATGATGATGATGATAAAAATAGAATTCAGCTAAAACCACAACCAAGACTAGGCTGTGACGCTGGTTTTCAATGGTCCCTAGCCAAGTGAGTGACAGACATGTGCGTTGCGAAGTGAAAATAAAAAAACTACATAAATACTTTTGTCTTATGTGGATAATACAAATAACAAATCGACCCCTGTCTACGTAAAGTATCGTATGTCGAAATTGCCAAGTTTACAAAGGAGCGTTTTAAAATTTTTGAATTCACTGAAATGAGCATAATCGGCCGAGCATAAGGGGTCGAAATATAAATTTGTATTCGTTATTTTTTTGATGATGAATTGGTGTGGTTATCTGACACATTATTATTATTATTTTTAGGTAAAAACGTGAGTGACGGCGACATGAAACAACTGCTGAGAATATTAGTAAAGGCTTTAGAATCTTTTAACGATCTTGCGTTGTTAGAAGCTCTCATTATGTGCTTGACTCGACTGCAACCTTTGCTACGACCGGTAAGTTCTTTTTTTAGTACTAGTAATTGTAATTGGTAGAACGTTGTGAGTTTGATTCCAGAGACCTAATGAAAATCGATCGGGGAATATTAATAAATCAATAAAAGCTTTGATTTAGCCGGATTTGATTATCTATCTTGTTCTTCCTGTCCTTATCCGACCCTGGGTAGGGTCGGCACAACATATATTTTTCTTCCACTCTCCCCTATCAGCCGTCATTTTTATACTCACACTTTTCTTATCCATGTCATCTTTCACACAATCCATCCATCTTTTCTTTGGTCTTCCTTTCCCCTTATATCCCTCCACATTCATACCTAACACTTTTCTCGTCACATGATATACCACGCTAACCTATTACTCCTCATCTTTTCCGTCACTGGCGCCACTTTTAAACTTCCCCTGATGTCCTCATTCCTTATCTTATCCTTTCTCGTCACTGCACACATCCATCTCGCATTTCCGATACATGCACAGTTCATTTGTCCTCCCTTTTCATCGCCCAACATTTTGATCCGTACAACATGACAGGTCTAATCACGGTCTTGTAAATTTGCCCCTTTAGCTTAAGGGTCATTCGCCGATCGCGAATAGTGCCTGTGACCTGTCGCCAATCCGGATTTGATTGTCTATATTGAAGTAAAAAATATCTCCTCTTTGTATTTTTCATAAATGTAGTTCTAAATACAGTGTATGTATGTATAAACTTACAAAAATTGACAATTCAAATGAGCTTGTGCTCAGTAATTGGATGAATAAATTATTCCATAAGCGCGACCGAAATTCAGTCGATAGAATATTTATCGACTGCAATCACAACACTGTGCAATGAACTGTCATTTTACTCCGTTTTCAAAAAAGACAGGCTATAATAAGAGTAATAACTTTCAACTTCTTTTCATACAGGAATCACCAATACATAACCATTTGTTTTGGGTCGCATTATCAGTATTGCAATTGGACGAGCCGACGTTGTACGCCGTAGGGCTTGCTTTGATGGAACAGAATTTGCATACATTGGATTCACAGGGCGCCTTCGAAGCAAAGGTTAGTAATTCAAATAATAATGTATGTATGACGGCCTCCATGATCGAGTGTCTTGCACACCGGTTTTCATGGTGTCGCCATCTCCGAGGACCGGGTTCGATCCCCGGCCGGGTTAGTGTAGAATACCAACTTTTCTATAATTATTAATACAAAGATCGAACACTCAGAAAAAATTACTTCAATCCGGCCGGATTCGAACCAACGTCTTCTAGCATACCGTGTCAGACGCTATACCAACTAAGCCACGGAACGAATCAGCGGATCTCACGAATTTTTCTATGTGCTTGTTGTCGTGTCTTTGTATTTAGTTTTTCAACGACTTTTTAGCCGTAGCGCCATCTATGAGAAATCTTAAGTATTTATAGGAAATGAAACTATTTTTCCGGATTTAAATCGCGTATATTTGT